TAGTTTAATATGAATACATTATAATATAATTGGAAATTTAACAGTAATTAATTAAATCAATGAACACAATTATTTGAGTAGTAAAATTTAAAAATATTTATTCCAACTTAAGACTAGGGAAAATACTTAAACAGATAATCGGTTATAGTCGATATACATTCTGTACATAGACATTCAACAGGGTCTCAGCTTTGTTTAGGTAGATTGTCCATTCCCATTTGGTGTCTGGATGTTGGTACGTTTGGTGTTTCTTGTATTGTTTGATACATTGGATTTGATGTTTGGTTAAGATTTCTATTATGTTGGTTCCATGTTTCATGGCCTATACCTCCTCTCACAATAACTTGTGATTGAGCTGCAAGATTAGGCGAATAGCGTTGGTGTTGTTGTGGATGTCTAGAAGAAGGTATAGCATAATTTTGATGATACCTATGTTGCTGAAGAATCTGATTATCCATGGACGGCAAATAATTAGATCTGGGGGGTAATGATGCTTCAACATGATTAGGAGGGGCTTGTGCAACTTGATTCATCATATTTTGTGGGACCAATGGAATAGCTAGTCTAGCATTTACAGCTAATAAATGGTCTCGACGTCGAGTAAATGTAGCTAATTCTTTTTCTAAGTCAATGTTTTCATTTTTCAGCTGATACAAACATGATAGTAATGATGCTACATCAAAATGTTGTGCTTGTTCCATTAACAACGAACCTCCTTGTTCCCATTGCCGTTCAAGTAAATCTTCTAAACTTTGAGAACTATTTCCAATCCCATTAGTAAACCATTCAGGACCAGAAGCATTTGACTGAGGAACATCAGTAGGAGGCTTCTGAACATGACGATATAACTGGGGACCCATTAACAATGGTGGTCGATTTGTAGGTATATTATTTTCATTGAACTGCTTATGTGTTTTAATTTCTTCATTCAATGTATCAGTCATTTGTTGAGCCATGGTAGAATTTGGATTTAAAGCATTTCCCAACATATGTGGGGCATCAATAGTGGGTTCATAATATTTTAGATCGTTTGCTTCTTTATTTTTAGTAGTGATAGAGTTGGATACATTCATCATATTTGGATCTTTAATCCATGTATTYGTCATGTTAACTGGAGGGRTATTTGGATCTATACAAGATAAATTTGGTTCTTCAATAATTTTTAAACCATCAAGCTGTATTCCATCATTGGCCATACAAATGTCCATTGAACTATCAATATTTTCACATTTAATTTCTTTTTCAGGTTGAGTATCATTTGGATACTGTTTAATACTGCCTGCTGACACACTTTCCATTTTACCTTTTAGTACTCGAGTAGATGCTTGAGAATGGTTAGGAGAAGTACTTGATTTGTCCTTGGATTCTTCATAACAATTAAATGATGTTGGCTTTTTTTTARATTTAGCTTGACCATCATTATCAATGTCTTCATGAGTAAATTCATCTAATGATATTTCAGATGCATTCTGAGGTCGATATGGAGCAATGTGCTTTATTTTTAAGTTGTTATTTTTCTTAAGTTTTGAATAATGGTGTTTGCAATATCCAACATACTGTACATTACGTCCATGGTTTCCTGCTTCTTCACACAACAATCCAACATTTTGTGCACAAGTTACATGGAATCCTAATTTACAACCTCCTTTTTTACATGTCATGCAAGCTCCATAAACTGAAACTTTAGGTTCTCTATTCTTTTCTTCACAAATATAGCAAATTTTTTTAAACCTATCAGATGGTATTTCACTTAATTTTATTGGCTCCATTGTGTGAACATCTTTAAACGTCACTTCAGGAATAAACAAAGCACATACGACATGGGCCCAGTTCCCATTTTCTGTCGGTTTAAGTGCGCCATCTTTAGATGGACATAATTCACATATCACTTTGGAACTTGGATTTTTTTTAAGAGCTACACATTTATTACAATACCATGATCCTTTTGGTACTACACGAATTCCATAGCAAGCTTTGTGTACAGCAACATTACAATTTCGACCATCACAGTATACTAAAGGGTTATCATCAAACGCTTTGTCTTCACTACAWACACTACAGTTTCCCAACATTTCTTTCATTGCTTTATCTAGAAAAAAAAATAATTTATCAACTTTACTTTAATTATATTAAATTAGGTACACCCAAAAATGTTCTTACTAAATATTTCAAAACATAAAATAGGTATATGAATAAATCATAGAACATTCATAAAATAAAAGTCCTACCCAATGTTGATAAAAAAACACTCAATTTATTTTGAAATAAAAATCTGGAAATGCATATTTAAATTTCAATATAATAGTCCTAGAATCTATTTGCAAATAAGTATTTTAAAATAGAAATATAAAGGAAATATATGCATAAAATATTTTATAGGATGATCACCCATTAAAACTAATACCAAATAATTTTAGTATAAAAAAAAAAAAAGGTTAGGTTCCTAATTTTGTAATTGATTATTAAATTATTTGTATTTTAAGTTTATTGCAAAGTATTTTTTATTGTTTGACGGAGATGGTTATTTGATGTTGGATTTTAGATTCAAAAAATAGGTAGGTATTAGGTCTAGTTCAATGTGTGATTGACCGATAATAGATAATTAGAATTTAACACTATAGTGCCATACCTATATAGTTATCGATACATGAATTTTATGACTATATTGTATTTTTAAAATATAATTTAAACATTCAGTTACAATTTAGAGTTCATTTATAGTTGTCATTTAGTTTTTTAGTGAATTTTATTTCACGAGTGAGTATAATATGTTTTGATTTAATGTTCTATAGTTTTGTAATAATAACAATTTTAAAATTAATTTTGCTA